TGTAGACATTTCATAGAATGTTCTTCATTTTCGGTTAGACTGGTGTTTCCCTATGATTAGATTCGGATTGTACATTTTTGTCAGGTGCGCCATAGATGGGATATTGTGTCCTCAGTAGCCACATGGTATCAATTTGTCCCAATATTGGTGATGCTTTTGATCACTTCATTAAGGTGGTACATGTCAATTTCTTCACTGTAAAGTTACTGTTTTTCCCTTTGTAATTAATATGTATCATATTGGGGAAATACCTTGAGACTCATTGTTTCTCATCATACTTTCACAGCAAATTTAGCATCCACTAATGATTCTTGCCTCAAGCAGTTAATACTGTGGTGATTGCCAAATGGTGAATAAATTCATCATTCCTTGTACATTTATTTGGAATCAGTTAGAAGAAATTTCCCCTTCCCACCTCCTACTTACTAATTTATTCATTCATTTATTTATATCTGAATGGAGCTATAATTTTTTACTATATTATTGGGTTATTCCATAATTTATTTTCTTAGTTTGTCCCAAATTTTGTCACTAGAAGCCCTTCAGGCTTTTTGATGTGTCTCTGTTATCTTTTGAGTATTTTCTTGCACCATGAAATGTTCTAGGCTTATCTTGTATTTTCCAGCCTCAACCTGGAATCACCCATTTCTCCAAGCCCTGGTTCTTTGTATTGGAAAATGATATTTAGAAGCTGAGATCTTAGTGCCAGCTTACATTTTTTAATCACTTGTTCATTTTGCATTTTATATGACTGTGTCTATTTTATGTATATTGTTTTTTTTGAGGCCCTGAGTGATACAAATGGTTAATCGCCCAACTATTAACTGAAAGGTTGGTGGCTTGAACCCATCCAGTATCACCTCAGAAGGCAGGCCTGGATTCTGCTTCCTAAAGGTCACAGCCATTGAAAACCCTATGGAGCACAGTTCTTTCCTTCAACACATGGGGTCATCATGATTCAGCAATGATTCCAGGGCAGATAATTTTGTATTGTTTCTTGATGCATATTGTATGTTTATATTTGAAGATATTTTTAAAAAATTAATTAGTTTATCCACTTCTTTAGCTTAATTGTGGATAATTATCAGTGGTAAAGAGATCACTACCTCAAGTCAGCCAAGGAATGATAAAAGTTGAGAGGTAGTGATCTAGAATAATTATTTATCCCTGTTAATTTCCTGGTTATGCTGGTTGCACTCTGGTTATATAGGGGAATATCCTTGTGAAATATTAGAAGTGATGGGATATTAGGCGTATAGTTGACTCTGAAATGGTTTTGAAAAAAAAATGTATCTATGTATGTTGATGTGTGTATGGATATAGAGACAGAATGATAAGATGGGGTCAAATGCTAAGAATTGGGGAGTTTGGGAGAATGGGATATGAGACATTTTTATACTTTTCTTGAAACTTCTGTAAGTTTGAAACTATTTCAAATTAAATGTTAAAAAGATTTTATGGGTAGGAAGAGAGTTGGAGAAATGTCTTAAAATTAAACTACTCCCTAAATAAATGCTGTATTTATAGGTTCACAGATACTTTGAACTGAAGGAGACTTTAGAAATCTACTTTCTCCATTATTTTATAAATGAAGCTTTAGTATGGCAGATTAGATTTAATGGTGTTTTAATAATAGCTTATTAAGTACCAATTAAAAAGATACTAAGTTTTTTTTCTTAGGGAATTATAAGCAAACCATAGTCTCTTGGTAAAGTTTGGCATTTTTTAGTTTTGATGACATGGTCAGTGGTCGTCAGCAAACCTCATGTCTGAGTATATACAACCATTCTAATACTAAGAAGGAAAAAGTAAAAATTGAAGGAATAGACTTTAAAATGGGTTATATGTTCTAATTAAAAAAAATTAGTTTGTTTTAGAAAATGGCAAGACTATGAAACCCTGTATCTTAAGTTCCATTACAAGATACCTACAGAAAAAAGTGAAGTAGTTCTAGTTAGTAGTCCCTATTAGTGCTGTTTGAACAATTTCAACAATGTAATTAACCATTATGCATAATTCAGTACAATGAAAGTTATTTTTTTCCTGATCCTTGATTATATAAGGGTTACTATAACAAAAATATATCAAATGCCTGGTTGGGTAGCATAGTGTACATGTGAGGAGGAGCATGGAGAGCGTAGACTTGTCAGTGTTGTTAGTTGCTGTCGAGTTGATTCCAACTCATAGTGACCCCTTTTGTGCAGAGAACTGCTCCATAGGATTTTTAAGGCTGTCACCTTTCAGAAGCAGGTTGCCAGGCCTGTCTTCTGAGAGGCCTCTGAGTGGGTTTGAACCACCAACATTTCAGCTAGTAGCAAGCGCTTAACCATTTGTGCCACCCAGGGAAACTTTACGGTCAGCGAGAAATACATTTTTTTCTCTTCGAAAAAGAAAAAAAGTAGTGAACCCAATTGTTTCTAACAGGAAAAAAATATACAGCAATGAATTTACTAGGATTCCTTTTATGGTGTCTATTTTAGAAAATTAATCTGTAATCTGAATGTTAGACTATCCATTTAGCTGAAGAGGTTCTTTTGGTGTCTTCATTATTTTAATTTGCATTCAGTATTTTTTAGTAAATGAAATTCTAAGACAGCCAAACAATTTGATACAGGTTTTAAGTTTATATTTATGAGGTTTACTACTTGGGTCTTGTGGAGTTTGCAGTTAACTTTACCCAAAGAATTTGGTCTTTGTCTTTTCTAAAACTTTAATATTTCCCCAGTGATTGGAGTTTTTATTATCTGTGATGGCACCAGGCCACACCTGAGGGTTTATACTAATGAATGGGGGCTTGCCGGGCCAGAAAGACCTACCATGTGGTATTAGCCAAACTATGGGGGTGAAGGGGGTAGAGATTCAGTTCAGCCACATGGGCGAAAATTCAGTTAATCATGTCTACTTAATAAGATCCCCATAAAACCTGTGGACACTGAATATCCATGAGCTTCCTGGTTGGTAAAAGACATTGGTTCTTGGGAGGGTGACGCATCCCTTTTTTGGGACATGGAAACTTTGCCTTGAGAACCCTCTCAGCCCTTGCCCTATGTATCTCTTCATTTTTGTCCTTTTTGCTGTACTAAAACTGTAATCGTATAAGTGTAGTGCTTTCCTGAGCTCTGTGAGTTAATCTAGTGAATTATCAAACCTGAGGAGGGTAATGGGAATCCGTGAATTTGTGGCTAGCAGGTCAGAAATAATGACGGCCCTGGAGATCTTCAAGTTTATGGCTGAGTACCTGAGTGGTAGAGGGAACCCCCAAATTTGTAGCCAGCAAGTTATAAATGAAGGGTCCTTGGAGACCCAGCTTATAGCTGGCCTTCTGAAAGGGTAGCAATAAAAAAAACCAAGCAAACCGCTTGTCGTCGAGTCCATTCCAACTCATAGCGACCCTATGGGACAGAGTGGGACTGCCCTATAGAGTTTCCAAGGAGCGCCTGGTGGGTTCAAACTGCCTGTCTTTTTTGTTAGTACCCGAACTCTTAACCACTACGACACCAGGGTTTCCAAAGGGTATTGGAAACCCCAAATTTGTAGCCAGAGGTCAGAAGTGAGAGTGTTGTGGGGACCCCAGGTTTGTGACTGGCATCTGAAGTCTTGCACGGACTTGGCAGTCTGGGGCACTATGCCCTTTTACTTGTGAGATCTGACCTAGTTCTGGTGTTTAGGGTCAGAGGAAAAAGTACTGCATTTGCAGTTGGTATTTGAACAGAATTGGGTTGATTCACTCACATATGCAGAGACCAAACAGTAGTAATTGGATCGCTACTAATTTTAATCTGGTTTCATCCAGATTAATTTAAAATTCTGAAGAAAGATTTGTTGTTGTTGGTTGTCAGCTGCCATGGAGTTGGCCTCCGACTCATGGCAGCACTGTGTATTACACAATAGGATTGCTCTTTAAGATTTTCTTGGTTGTCATCTTTACGGAAGCAGCTTGATAGGCCTTGAAGAAAGGCTTACATAAGCTAATGTAATGCAGTGTAATATAAGTTAAAATAATCATGTTTAACCACTTAGCTTGAATGATGAGGCTTTTTTTTTATAAGTCCTATCTTTTCTTCCATCTCTGTGCTTTATCATACAGTTATTTTGGGGGGGTGCTGATGGAGGGGATTATCTGTTCATCTTCTCTATATGATGAGTCCTGCTAGACATGCAGTGTAACCGAAGCAAACCAAACCAAACCCACCAAACTAAACCTGATGCTGTTGAGTCAATTCTGACTCATAGGGAACCAGTAGGATAGAGTAGAACTGCCTCATAGGGTTTCCAAGGAGCAGCAGGTGGATTCAGACTGCAGACCTTTTGGTTAGCAGCCAAGCTCTTAACCACTGAGCCACCAGGGCTCTGTAACTGAAGCAGGCATACAGAAATTGTTGATCATGGCTGCAAGACTGAGAAGGGGAAAAAATGTGTGGTTCTTACCTCCTTTCTAATAGTTTAGCAGAATACATTGACTATACTTGGATTTGAGATTCTGAGCAACATGAAAATGGCAGTGGAAGTGTGTAAGGGCATCAGTTTTGTTGAATTCCTTCACTTTAGTTCCCTTGTGGGGGGAAAAATTGTACTACATGTGGAGCTGGTACATATCTCAGTTTACTGAGAGTATGTGTCTCCATTTACTAGCTATGCAGTCTTGGACAAGTTATTTAACCTTTCTAAACCTCAGTTTCCTCATCTGTAAAATGGGAAAAATGAGAGTGCCTACTTCACAATGTTGGCTTGAGGATTAAATGAACTTAAAAAATTATTCTATATATGTATATAAAACAATCATAACAATACCTGGCACACAGTAAGATTTCTGTTTATTATTATTTAATGTGTTATTATTTGAAATTCTTTTGCAGAGGAAATAGAAAAAATTGAAGTACTATTAATTTTCAGATAACATGAATCTATTAAATTCTAGATATGGTTAGAATGCTATTTATATCTAAGCATACAGGAATAGAATTATTTTTTAATAATTGATATTTCTTTTGTTTTAATAGGTATCAGCAGATGTTGCATACAAACTTGGTCTACCTTGCTACAATAGCAGATTCTAATCAAAATATGCAGTCTCTTTTACCAGCAGTAAGTACCTTTGAAATAGTGTGAAGCTGCCAATATTTATAGAGTTACATATGGTGTAACACATTTTTATTTAGTGATTTTTGAGTTTTTGTTTAGTATATCTTCTCTACTCTGATGATATGAAGATTTTCTCCTGTATTATTTAAAATCTTTGTTTCGCCTTTGTATTTAGTTTGAATTAATTGCCTAGAATTGATTTCCTCCCTGAAGAAGTTGTATCCATCTACTCACCTGCCCATCCATCCATCCACCCACTCATCTCCCTGCCTGTTTATTTACTTTATTTTTTAGTTGTAGGAGTAATTCAAAGCAAATCCCAGACATCATATAATTTCACAGGTAAATGCTTCAGTATGCATCTGTAGCAGATAAAGACTTTAAAAAATTTTTTTTTATTGTACTTTAGATGAAGGTTTACAGAACAAACAGTTTCTCATTAAACAATTAGTACACATACTGTTTTATGACAATGGTTAACAACCCCATGACTTGTCAGCACTGTCCCTTCTCAACCTTGGGTTCCCTGTTACCAGCTTTCCTGTCCTCTCCTGCCTTCTAGTCCTTTTCCGTGGACTGTTGTGCCCCATTAGTCTCGTTTTGTTTATGGGGCTGTCTAATCTTTGGCTGAACGGTGAACCTCTGGAGTGACTTCATTACTGAGCTAAAAGGGTGTCTGGGGGTCATACTTTCAGGCTTTCTCCAGTCTCTTGTTAGGCCAGTAAGTCTGGTCTTTTTTTGTGAGTTAGAATTTTGTTCTACATTTTTCTCCAGCTCTGTCCGGGACCCTCTGTTGTGATCCTGGTCAGAGCAGTCAGTGGTGGTAGCTGGGCACCATCTAGTTGTACTGGACTCAGTCTGGTGAAGGCCGTGGTAGTTGTGGTCCATTAGTCCTTCGGACTAATCTTTTCCTTGTATGTTGTTTTCTACATTCTCCCTTGCTCTGGAAGGAGTGAGACCAGTGGAGTATCTTAGATGGCTGCTCACAGGCTTTTAAAACCCCGGATGGTACTCACCAAGGTAGAATGTAGAACATTTTCTTTATAAAGTGTGTTATGCCAGTTGAGCTAGATGTTCACCGAGACCATGGTCCTCACAGCCCTCCGCCCAGCAATTCAGTCCTTCAGGGAGTTGGGATGTGTCTATGGAGCGTCCATAACCTTTCCTTGTACAGATTGTGCTGGCTTCCCTAGGATTGTGTACTGTCTTACCCTTCACCAAAGTTACCACTTGCAGATAGGGACTTTTTTAGGTAAAATAATCAAAATACCATTATTCCACCCAATAAAATTAACCATAATTCTTAATATAATAACTAATTCATTTTAAATTTTTCCTGATTTTATTAAAGAAAAAACCAAAAATGTGGTTTTTAAATAAAATTTTATTGTGTTTTAGGTGAAAGTTGACATAGCAAATTAGATTCCCCTTTAACAATTTTTATACAAATTGATTACAATTTTTACAATATGTCAGCATTCTCATTATTTCCATTCTGTTTGTTCTGTTCCAGTTGGTTGAGTTTCCCTTTCCCTCCTTGCCTTCTCATCTTTGCTTTTGGGTAACTGTTGACCATTTGGTCTCATGTAGTTAATTGTTTAAGGGAGCATATTAGTCACAGGTGATATTGTTTATTTTATAAACCTATCTTTTATTTGACTGAAAGGTGACCTGCAGAAATAGCTTCAATTCCAAGTTGAAAAGGTATCTTAGGGTAATAGTCTTGGGAGTTCCTCTAGTCTCTTACCGGTCCAGTAGTCCTGGCCGTTTTTTAGGGATTTCAGTTTTATTCTTTTCTCCCATTCTATCTGGGACCTTCTGTTGTATCCCTGGTCAAAATGGTCGATAGTAGTAGCCTGGCGCTATCTATTTCTTCCGGTCTCAGGTTAGAAGAGGTTGTGGTTCATTTGAGCTGTTAGTCCCATGGACTTGTTTCTTCTTTGAGCCTTTGATTTCCTTCATTCTCTTTTGCTCCATACGAGTAGAGACCAATAATTGTATCTTAGATGGCCACTTGCAAGCTCTTAAGACCCCAGGCGCTACTCAGGAAACTAGGATGTAGAACATTATCTTTGGGCACTGTGTTATGCCAAGTGACTGTTTTCCTCCAAGACTATGGTTCCAAGCCCTTTTACCCAGTAAACCAATCCAGTGAGTTTTTTGATATCTAGAAAGCCTCCATAACTGTGCCCCCTATGTTATTAGTTATATATGTGGGTAATGTGCAGCATACACAAACATGTTTATACATATGCCTACAGATGCACCTATACATGCACGTACATTCACTCGCATATGCCTTTCTATACGCATATATGCATCCATATCTACCTATGTAACAAGACACATATTGTTTGGTTGTTTTTACTGTTGTTGCAAAATTCTGTATGTCACAGCATTTACCGAAATTGTCCCTTTTTCTCGTGCATTTCTTAGTGTGTTTATTTACCTTGGCCAGGTTGTGCTAATTTCACCCATATTTGGAATTGCCTTTCCCATCACCAAAAGTAACAAGTGTCTACTATCTAGCAAGTGATTCCCTCTCCCTCTCCCTCCCATCTCAAAAACATATTTTAATCGTTGATTATTTGCCTCAGGATCCAAACAAGGTCTATGTATTACACTGATTGATTTGTGTCTTGTCTTATTTAATCTTTATCAGTTTCTCCTTTTCATTCTTCATTTATTTGAAGAAACTGACTCATATGTTCTGTAGAATTTCTCACATTCTGAATTTGGTTGATTGTATCCTCAGGGTCCTTTAACATGTTTTTCCATCCGCTTATTTCCTGTAAACTGATAATTAGAGAGGCTTGATTAAAGTTAGGTTTAGTTTTTCTGTCAAGAGTTTTTCGTTGGTGGTGCTGTGTAGTTGCTGTATCAGGAGGACCGTGCTTGGTTGTTCCATTTCTAGTAATGTTAAGGTTGATCAGTGGGTACAGTTGACTTTAGCCTGAATAATCCATTACAAAGTTCCCCTTAATGGGTGCTTGTTGACCAGATCTGGGGATTTCTACGTTTACAATTCCTCCTGCAATTATTAGCTGTAATTTTTTTTTTTTTTTTAACAAGAAAAACTTTGTTTCATCAAATATTTGGTTATCCTGAAATAGAGTCCCTACTGGAAAGTCAAGAGAAAGACTTGATTCTGTCCCCCCGACCCCCCTTTTTAAATCAATTTTCGGAATAACGCGTTGTTGCTTAGCAATCTGCAGAGGCAACCAATTATTTTTGTTTATAGTATCATCTGAATTTACAGATTTTTATATTTTTGATGAGTTTAAATCCATTACAGTCATTCCTTATGATGTTAGAATTATCTCATATTTGGTCAGTGGGAGCCTCTTATTTGACTCCTATGTCCTTTTGACATGACTGCAGTGTTCTTATATAGCTTCTTTGCTTTCAGGATTTGAGAGTGGCATCAGGCTCATTCTGTAGATTTTCTGCCCAGAACTGGATTTGGCCATTTTTCTAAGGAGTATTTTTTTTTTATGGGAATTCGTATTAAGAGACCACAGTTGGGGTGTGTGGAACATTTATTATTACTGGGTTTTGGTTGTTTCTAGGTCTTTTGGTGGACAAAACTAGTAAACACATTTTTTTTTTAGTAAGAGAAGATACTGAGTTTTTAGTGTTATTTCCACTTCAAATGAAAGATTACAGTGTATTTATTTAACTTTAATTTTTTATATCTTAGTATTTTTTCTCTTACTCTAAAAATTGTGGTTCCTTAGTGACATTTCTGTATGTGCTTTCTACTACTATATATATAAAAAATAATTCTGCTATAGCAATACCAATATTAAAAAAAAAAAATTGCCATAGAGTTGATTCTGATTTATGGTAGACACCACGTGTGTCAGAGTAGAACTGTGCTCCACAGGGTTTTCATGGCTGAATTTTCTGATTGCCAGGCCTTTCTTCCAGGACTTCAGTGGGTGGACTTGAACCTCCAGTTTTTTTGCTTAGCATTCAAGTGTGTTTACTGTTCGTACCACCCAGGGGCCCCATACCAATATTACCTCTGACAGTAAGATGCTTGTTTTCCAGGTATATCCCACTAGGGATATATAATCAATAAACTTTGTTTTAAGCTTGAAGGAATTCTTTTTTATGTGGTTATTGTCATGAACTTGATTACCAGTTATTGTTCTGTGCCGTCAAATCAATTCTGACTCATGGCAACCCCATTCAACAGAATGAAACTACTCCATAGGGTTTCCCAGGCTGTAAATCTTTTATTGTTTATTTTTGTAGTTTAAATGAAGTTTACATTTCAAGTTAGTCTCCCATACAAAAATTTATACATACAGGGTTATGTGACCGTAATTGCTCTCCCCATACTGTGACAGCACACTCCTTCTTTCCACTTCTGATTCCCCATGTACATTCAACCAGCTCCTAACCCTCTCTGCCTTCCCATCTCACCTCCGGACAGAAGCTGCCCGTTTAGTCT